CAGATCTCCCCATCTTCAAATATTCACTTTTGGCTTTTTTTTTTTTTCCCCCTCCAAGAGAAATGTTCCTTCTCCTCTACTTCATTTCCACATAGTGGGAATAGAAGGAAAAAAACAAAGAAGTGAGAAAAAGAAAAGGAATATTCCACCCCATTTACTTTTTTTATATATATATTTGTAAGGAATGTGGGAGAAGGGAAATAAGAGAAAGTAAAAGCACAAATGAAAGTGAAGAAACAGGAAGATCAGAGGAACAATGGCAATAATACAGTTTTTATATTTAACCCCTTTTCTAACACACAGGTACTCACATTCTCTTTCTGTTATTAAAAAAAAAAATCCCCGAAACTTAACCTACATGAAAGACTTTTTTTTTTTCAGAGAACTGCAAGTCTAAAATTTTCAAAACTAGACTAAGTTCTCCAGATAACCTGTTCTGTAATGACTTCCATAGTATTTATTCAAGTTCTCTCCATATTTTACCTATGTAAATTAACAAAACAAATTGACATAAAGGAAAAACACATACCCCAGTTCTGTCGCCAAAAAAATTCTAGTGTCTTCTGCGTTGCAAAATGTTTTTTAACTGAGTAATGAACTCTTTGTATAAGCATATTGGAAAATCCTGTGCGTTTCAAAAGGTAGGCCATTGTTGGCGAATGCCCAAAAGGATCAATTGCCCAACCAGACTTTGGTTTTACTCCTGTTGACAAAAGAAAAAAAGTAAAATGGGAAGAAAGTTTTTCTTTTCCCTCAAAGAAAGCTATACCAACATAATTCAAATCAGAGCACTAAAGATAAAGTTTCCAAGAAGTTAAACTAAAATATACAGCTGAGTATTAAGCCTCCTGCAGAACACACCCTGGAATTAACAAGCTAGAATTAAACAGATAAACAATAACAAAAAAAAAAGTAATGTCTTAGAGGCAAGGCATTCTAACTACATAAAAAACCTGAGATTAGTACTCTATGTTGTTACACTATTGCAACTGTGTCTCAAACATCTTTACATGGAATCATAATGAAATACATCTCCTTTTTCACTTTAAGTAGTTTACAGGTGTTACAATTGGAAAGGAAAGCTGAAAGAAAATGAACGGATGGAGGTGGATTGATGTTGTAGCTTGTTGAATTTTCACTGTAATTTAAATAATATTAACCTTTGATGGCTTTGGAACTAAATTTTCTTTTGATTTATTTGGTTGGCAATCATTAGAATCATGTTAATACTGTCTTTTCACTGAACTTCATACTAGCAAATAAAGAAGCTATATCTAACTCCTGTTTAACTGATTCTTCAACATGGTTCCTTAGGCACATTTTTACTATCTTAGCAAAAAAACCAATAGGGAATGCATTACGCTTTTATTAGGCCTTCCCTCCCCACATTTCTTAATTATGTCAAGCTGTGTTTATGGAAATTGCGATCTAAGAAAAACAGTGAAACAGCTTTTCAAAATAATTTCAGTTAATTGGATGAAGTAATGTTAACTTACTATTAAAATCACTGTACAATATTTTCTACATAAAAAGGGTTATCTCTACTTATGGAACATTATCTCTACTTCTAGAACTAAACAAAAAAACCCATCCCAAAGCCACCAAAACAGTTCAGCCTACAGTCAGTAATTCCTGAAAGTTTCAAAAGCGAATGAGTCGGCCTTTTTTTTCTAAATATGAACAATTCTAACACTACAAGGTGTTTAGGCTTTATAACTACTACTACTGCTACAACAACTACTACTGAATTTCATATTTACTTTTTTGAAAGCCTTACGTAAGAGAATATAATTAATATACAGCCTGCAGAAAAGATCCAAACACATGAAAGGAATTTCAATTTTTAAGTCATTTTAGGGCCTTTGTCATGATTTTCAAGAGACAGAAATGGCAACCAGAGGCTGTGATACCAGAGACATGATCTACAATTCAGCATGATCTAGTGTTATATTTTATTATGCTAATAAACTATGCACATCTTTCATTGATCAAGACAAAATGTTATGACTTAAA